GCTGAACTTAAACGCAGGAATGCGGAGATTCTAAGATCGAATGAGGAATATAATGAGAGGCGTGATGCTGAAAATGCCAAACTCAAGGCCAGAATCGAGGAGTTAGAATCTGAATTTAGAGATAGAATTACGAAAGTGGAACAGAAGCAGACTCTAAATGAGTCGAGAGACGCTTCGCATAATTCTTCTAACTTCAATTTAGTTGCAGATCAGGTGCTAACGGTAACACATCATGAAAAACCATTAGTGGATACTTTATTATCTGAAGACAAAGAAACAGATGCTTTCTTGGATGAGGAGTATAAGAAAAAGGTTAGTAATGAGATTAGGCAATGTAATAAGGAAAAGAAACTCCAGCGTGAATCAGCTAACCAGGACAGCATCTCCGATACTGCTTATATATCAGAAACTGTTAATAATGTTGAGAAGGTATATGAGCCAGAGATTAATAATATTACTAATTGTACTCCTTCAGAATCATCTCATGAAATAAAGGTCGATCCGCAATCGGTCAATATAAATGTCTCCCAGGAAGAAATCCCAAAATGTATTACAAATTCCAAGGTAGATTCGAAATTATCACGTGGTATAAAACCCGTGAACAGTGTTCACAGGTTTTCTGAAAATTCGAAATCATCACATGAGAGAGAAACCGTTACCAATACCCGCTCAGAGATAGAAAGACCGGTGGAAGAAGAATCTTCCTCGAAAATAGCTACTGAATTCGTGCAAGGTTTGTTGAAAGAGCTTCTCTCATCTGACGATCTACTTCAGACTATAAAGTTTTCTTCTCCCAAAACCACAGTTCCTGAATCGATAAGTATTAAGAGACTTGCCAATTCTTTCTGCCAAGCAAATGGTGCAAGAAATAGATCGATCACAGCAAAGAGAGCAGAGATAACAGCTTGGCATTTATTCTCTGAAAGGTTCGAAAATAAAGTAGTGGAGCTTAGATCAAATGATAAGAAACTTACGGATCAGACTGCAAGAAAGCAGATCTATAATGAAATGAAGCCGTATCTCACAGGTATTTCAGATGAATATTTACGCAAAATGACCTCTAAGG